CTCTCTCTCTCTCTCTCTCTCTCTCTCTCTCTCTCTCTCTCTCTCTCTCTCTCTCTCTCTCTCTCTCTCTCTCTCTCTCTCGTTTTCTGGCACACACACACACACACACACACACACACACACACACACACGCACACACACACACACACATAGAGGCAATGCTAGTGCCTCAGATGTTGGACTCTCTTACCTTCCCTGGCTCTCTCATGCCCCCCTTTTCCTGCAATTTAGCGTTGTGGCCTTGTCCTGTTGCATCCTGCGTTCTTACAGGCTCTCTTTGTTTTTGTTTTCCATTCGGTCTTTCTCCCCTGGCTTCGGCACTCTGGTTGCCTCTTATCTCCCGCGCCCCCTACGTACTGCCCTCCTCCCCATTCTCTCGTTCGGCCATTTTTCTTCTTGCACTCGTCCTTTCTTCTTTGTCCTCCACTGTTGTGCTTGTATTCTATCTTCTCGGTCTTCTCTTTCAGTTTTGTCCATCATTAAGCAACACAGCTTGCTTGTTTACTTAACGAGGCACAAAGAAAGTGGCAAGCCAGTCACCTTGCGTCTACTTCGGTCTTCTCTCATTTTCCCCTCAGTTGCGTTTTTTTTTTTCTTCGGTTGCTCCATGGGTGTCCGTCCATGCAACCAACCTATGTATGTCACTCTGGAGCTCACAGTCGTCCTGGTATATCCGGAACGTTGGATTCTGAATGCACCTGGTCCAAACGAGCGTCCAAAAGCGTGTAGAATGTCCAGTTGTGGAGCGAGGCCCTACGGTTTCGGGCTTCCCTGCTTGTGTTCTGTTCGGTGGTTCCCATGGCTGTCCGTGCGTATACAACCTACGAGCCTCTGTCCACTATGCAACACTCATATATTTCGAATGTATCTGGAGCTCACGGCCGTCCCAGTACATTCGAAATGCTGGACTCGTCCGAATGCACCTTGTGCAGACGGGCATTCGAAAGCACGTAGAGTGCTCAATAGTGGAGCGAGACCCTATGTCGTCGGGGATACCTTCGCGAACACTTGTCTAATGGCAGCCATGGGCCTCGCCTCGTTCAGTCAACGCAGTCCTGTGGTGATACGCCGTGAGCAGTCCATGGGGTACGCTCTGGATGAAGATGGTGCTTTTATTTTCCATGGGGGGTATGACTGTGTGAGACGCCGTGAGCAGTCCCCGAAGAAAAAAAAAATTGTGATCGGAGTCGGCAGACCTGTTGAATAGAACACGAATTGCACAAAATGTGTGTCAAAGCTGGTGCAAACCGGTTAGAAAAGCTGCGATAGGGAGGGAGGTGGGAGGGTGGGAGGGGGAAGGAGGGAGGAGGGATGGAAATAGGACCAAGACACCAACGGCCCTAGCTCAGTCAGTACACTAGCGAACTGTTTGAAGTACGGACCCGAGTTCAATTCCAGCTGAAGAAGTGCTGAATTACCTGGGGCAGGCCGAGTTCAGTGATGCTATGTCGAACCCGTTGTCCTATTAGAACAAGAAAGGTGGAGAAAGAGAGGAGTGTGAGTGTGGGAGAGCGAGGGAGTGTGTGAGAAAGTGAGTTAGCGAGTGAATGGAGAGCACATGGGGTTTTCTTTGTTTCCTTTTTTCTTTTTATTGAATTTCACGCGCCTCGGCCTAAGAATGTTCTGGTTCGTTAGAGTTTGAGCTGGCGAACAGACTAGCGGGGTGGGAGTGAGGGGGGCTGAGCGCGCGCAGAGAAGTGAGGATGAAGAGAGAAAAAGAGGAGCCAGTGTGAAAGAGCGCGCCCGACAGATGTTGAAGCAAATGTGATTTCTACCCAGTACTCTGAATGCCAAAGTGAAAAGATTGAGCAGGATAAAGACTGCTTTGATTCTGAATCTATTCACCTGGGTTGCATTGGTGCTGTTGTGGGGAAAATCTAACACACACACACACACACACACACACACAGACAGGCACAGAGAGAGAGAGAGAGAGAGAGAGAGAGAGAGAGAGAGAGAGAGAGAGAGAGAGAGAGAGAGAGAGAGAGAGAGAGAGAGCAACGAAGGCAGTGTCACGAAGAGTGTGTTTTGGTGCAGAAATATGGTGTGATTATCTGATAACCACCATATGTAGCGACTCTTCTCTAACTGGAATCTTTTTGCACAAGGATCGGAACGACGTGGAAGCACCGAGATTGGACTTAGTGATATTTTGATACTGCCTTAATAAAAAAACTCAGGACCTGTGTCAGTCAGACTTGCTAATCATCGGCACCCATTGGAATGTCTCTTCTGGATTCAAAACTTTCACCGGCAGTCTGACCTGTGTGAACTGGGCTAAGCAAGCTGCAGCCAGGGGTTACGACAGAGTGAAAATTACAGGAACACCCCTAGGGTCTCCCCTGAGTACTGCGGGTGTCGCTGTTGACCTATGCAAATTTACAGAAATAACCCTAGGGATCTTTGCATGATTTATTTGTGTCCCTGTTAACGAGCGAAATTTTGTGTATGTCCCTGTAAACCAGATCTTTTGCAAAACCCTTACCCCGGATGCACAGCAAGTCTTGCAGTTCGTTTTTGCACAAAATAAACAAGTAAATGAAATACCCAGGCTATGACCCAGGTGGCCAGGTTACCTCCTACCTCCTACCTTGCCCGGGACCCGCCCAGGACGCCGGGCCGGGCGGTGTGTCCAGTCCAACCCCCGGGCCACCCAGCGCAAAATTGCGTGCAGGGTCCTTCTGCTCTTTGTTTTTCCCCTTGGGCACAGAGACGGGCACTTCTTGCTCGAAGGCGCCGGAAAAAGAAATTGGGGCCTAGCAGGCCCCTGCTTTTTTCTATTGTAATCTGCGCCGTTGATCCAAGACAATCAACGACCCAGGCTCAATTGGGTTCGGATTCGAAATGCAGCATCCCGCCCGCCTCGTGTACCCACTCTGCCGCTCGCCGTCCCGCGGGCGTCGTCGTCGTTGTGCAGTCCATCGTCGTTGCCCCCACGTGGCCTCGTCGTGGCTGCGCTATCCATCACCGCGCTGCACATCACCGTCGCCCCTATGTGGCGTCATCGTGCTGGCCATCGCTGAACGTGAGTTCGCTGCGTCCTCATCCTCCTGCTCTCACTGCCCCTCTTGTCGACCATCTCCTTGTCCTTCTACTCCTTCAGACGTCTTCCTCCTCTAATTGTATTTCTTCTTCCGTGCTTCTTCTCGTCGTCATCCTCACCCTCGTGCTTTGTTCGTTCTCCTCCTTTCTTCGCCCTCGTCCTGGTTTCCTCATCCACGTGCTTTCTTCGTTCTCATTAGTGATGGTGTGTGACGCGGCGGAAAATGGATCGGGGCTCAAGTGGTTCACTGAAGCGACGAGACCGAACAAAACCAATGTTGCAAACGCCTCTCCAGGCACGCCGCAAGACATGCTGGACACAGAGTGCTATTGTTTGCCATTGATCTTCGGGGTCAGTTGTGGAACGTTCTGTAAAGGTCACACAATTTGCTGCCAGAAGCAAATGTTGTAAGCCTCCTGAAGTTTATAAATGGAAGGGTCTTCGATATCGAAATGAAATTACACTCAAGAAACAAGGCAAAAAAAAAAAGAACATGTCATATTTTGAATCGACATCATCAATTCAATCAAATTGAATTCTATCGGTCTTATGGTTGTTATCGTGTCGCCATAAGGCCCAACGAACACATGATAATGGACTTGCGGCCACGAAGTGGGAGACTGGAGCTTGAGCGGGAAACCCAAACAAAAATGCAAAACAGATGAAAGAAAACATGCACAGACCCAGAGTTGTCCTTTTTTCTGGGTCATCGTTATGCATCTTATCATGCTTGCAAAGTCAAATAACATAAACGCCATGCAAACAAAACACGGTATTGCTTATATTCAATCAACAACTTTTAAGTAACATTATAATTACCATAACAGATTTTTTTTGGAGATATATGGCAAATCTTGGTCCTCTTCTGGTCCAGTGGGATTTAAAGGATCTCGTCGCGACGGGATGTAGAAAGTTGGAGGAGGAGGAGGAGGAGGAGGAGGAAGAAGGTACTTCGCGATCCAAATCACGATCGCGATTCCTCTTCCGCCGCCTCCTTTCTTGCTTCTTCCCCTTGTTGCCCTCTTCCTCCTCCTTTCTTCGTGCTCCTTCTCCTCCTCCTCTTCCTCTTCTCGATTCCTCTTTCGCCGCCTCCTTTCTTGCTTCTTCCCCTCGTTGCCCTCTTCCTCCTCCTTTCTTCGTTCTCCTTCTTCTCCTCCTCCTCCTCTTCCTCCTCCCCCTCCCCATCCTTTATTCCCTCTCCTCCTCCTCTCCTCCTCCTCCACCTCCTCCTCCTCGATTCTTTGGAGTTCTTTCCCTCCTCTTCCTTTCTTCTCCTCACTTATTCGTTTTGTTCGCGTTAGCGTCATCGTCCTCACTTTTGCCACCGTGGTGTGACTGGGCCAGGCGGCGACGGAGTGATTGGTTGGGAACTTAGGAGGGAGATGGTGTTTGATGAAAGGGTTGGGAGGGGAGCGGGCCCAGCGGGGATGTCTGGTTGGCGAGATAGGGCGAATGAAATGACGAGGAGAAGGGAGAAACGAGGAGGAGAGGGAAAGGAGGAGGAGGTGGTGGCAGTGATTGCCGATACCACAACCGGTTGCTTGGACCGGTATCAGCAACCGCAGAACACCTGCACATCCCCCCACCCCCTTCCCCCCTCCCTCCCCACCTCTCCCGACCCACCAAAGCTCGATCCACGAAAAAAAAAAACACAGCGGATTTGGACACTTTAGGCAAAGTGCAAAAATGTGCTGCCTCCAGAAAAGAAAAAAAGAAAAAAAGAAACAAAAGGGGGCCCAAAAATAAGTTGCCCA